CCAAAAAAAAAAAAAAAAAGAGCAAGCTCTTGCAATCAAATTTCGCATCTTTTTTCTTCTGATTCGCTTTCTGTGTCGTTCTCAACGCTTTTTTTATTATTAACCTCGAGCACTCCATTGAATGGAAGTCCATTGAATCCGAAGCATTCAATAGTTTTCATTTGAACGCGAGTGTGAAAGCGAGAGCGAGAGGGAGTGATTGGGAGAGCTGAAAGCAAACCATATGCCAATGGTAAAATAAAAATCCATTAGATGATAGCGTCTAATGTGCCGTTTCAGAAGTGGAAATGTGACGATGTTCGAGTCTCGGCGTCATATCTGCTTAGCGAAAGAGATGAAAAGATTCACATCGAGCCATACTCTTATTTCACTTACTTTGTCAATGTAGTACCAGTGGGGCTGCTGGTAAAATTTGATGCCAAGCCATGGCTTCTCTTCAATTACAATTAATTTAATCGTCAAAAGGCGTCGAATTGAGCATGAATAAAAATTGACTTTTGCAATACGTCTAATAGTCCAATATGTAATCAAGAGCTGTTTTCTTTTTCTTTATTTATCTCTGTCTTTATCTCTGTCTTCATCTCTGCCTTCCTCTGTCTCAATCAAAAGTCTTTTGACATTTCAAACATCGCCTTTACATGCACGCACAAAAACACGGAAGAGAAAACTGAACTGTTTTTATCTCTTGAAAATAGTGATATCCCTTGGCATGTTTCCAGAAATGTTACAGCAAATAATGATGATTATATTGTTCAGTTCGTGCATGCACTTCATTTTCACCTGATGGAATTTAATGAACTTTTCCTTAATATTTTATATAATTTTTCGCGTTAATGGCTTCGTTTCAACGTTTTTCATTCCGTTTTTTTTTTCGGTGTGCACACTGTACATTCCACTTCTCGTTTGTTTAACATCGAAACTGTCTTAATGTCGACGAATAAGAAGAAACAATTCGAAGTTGAACTAATGAATTTTGGATGAGTAGCATTGTTCAAATGTTTTTCCGTTCATTGCACGACTTACCAATCTATTACATCTATAAGGAGAGAGTGTGAGAAGTCGAAACGAATGCGCATCTCTCGTCGTAATAGTTTTTTTTATTGTTGTTCTGTTTACTATGGCAAAATGTGTGTGTGTGTGTTCTAGCTTCTTCGACTTGTTGTTCGTTTTGTGGGGTGTGCGAAGCTTTTCTCTTCCTACACGATGCATAGCCATTATCATCAATTGTTCATGGTGTTTTGCTTGGTTGTTTGCTTGCTAAATAAAATAAATAGTAATGGGAATGAGGCAAACTGCATCATATCATAATTTCAAAGGAAATCGTCAAGCAAACAATGTAATGTCGGTGTGTTTGTTTACTGTTCATGGCAATGTGTATACTTTCATTGACGTTTACAGCGACAACGTTGCATTTTACAGAAGGAAACTGATGAACTCACTCAGTCCGGAGTAGTAGCTTAGAATTTCATTGTAAACATCTCGATGCATCCCGCAACACTGAACTATACCGATATGACACGACTGGATGACGGGCAAACAAACCGTATAATATTTCAGGTAAACATACATTTAATACGTAGCCAATTAATGGGTTGATTACAAATCAAATGATTAAATCATTATTCGATGGGGAAATCGGAGAGCGAGACAGACAGAGTTTGAGACATGATTAATTATTTTCATTGCATCGACTCTCGAATGGTTAATTAGTGATATGGCCAGTTCAGATCGTTGTCAGCAAAATGTGCGCTGGTTCACTGTTAAATATTTATAAGAAAAAGTGTTTTTTTGCTGCTTTGCTTGTTGCAAAGCAACCTCTCTCTCACTCACAGTCATGCAAATGGTTCGTATTTCATGCGGCAGCACTTTACTCCCCGTTGCACATTGCATTTAAAAGTTTCGTTGTTAGCGAAAAGTGCACCAATAATCCAGACAAAGTGCACGACCATCAGATGGAATAAGTGTTATTTCAAAAAATCAAGTGCATCGCCGTCAAATCAGACACCAGAGGAGAGAGAGAGAGAGAAAGAGAGCAAGAATGAAGGGAAACGAAATAAGACTGAAGGATAAAAAAGCAAACAATTGAAATTTTGAGTGTATGAAACATCAAGATATCTGACTATGGCTATTTCAATTTGCCAATGTTTTCATTATGTATTCATTTTATGCAATAGCTAAATACACAGACACACCAAAATGCACACACGAATCAACTTTTTATATCATGTTTAGATGAGAGATACAATGCCATGGGATACGAGTATAAATGTGTTTCACCCCGCACACACACAGAGAGAGGAAAGAGAGAGAGAGAGAGAGAGAGAGAGAAAGAGAGACTTATAGTGGCACAATCGTCTGGCGGTCGTATCAATTCGAAAAGAGAAACGTACCATGGAACTGATGCAATCCAAAACGGAGAGACAGACATGTCTTTCAGTTGCAACCGCAAAAGCGTAAAACGTGAACTATGCTGAAGAGATTAGATCCGACAGACTGTTACATAGTAAAATGGCTACATTTATGCATTCGTAAAGTTGAAAGTGCACGTATATCTTGTGTATGAGTGAGTGACTGAGGGGGTATCAACCAGCCAACCAAGCCAAGAATTCAGTCAAGCACACACACACACACACACACACACACACACACACACACACACAATCAAATCAAACTGAATATAGAGTGAACGAGAAAAGAGATCGAGTGAGAGCGGAAAAGTGAGAGAAAGAGACCAGAGAAGAAGAGAAAAAACAACCCAAGAAGATGATGCGGAGGAAGAAGCTGAATAAATGATAAATAACCACATCAATTATTTAGCTTAGAATTGTGTTGGATTTTACATGAACATGAGTCATGTTACATGAATATGTGCCAGTACCGGAGCCACCATCCATACATGTATGCTGTTTGTCAACGATGAATTGCTGCTGCTAGCTGGCATTGTTTGCTAAACGTTGATGCTTTTATATATATATATATATATATATATATATATATATATATGTGTGTGTGCACTTTGCGATAAATATAATCTTACAATTGCATTGAATAATGTACAGAAAAATGGAACGAAATTTTCCCTTTCTATCGTTCACACGCTTCCTTGATGTGGTTTGGATATTTTGTTATGTTTGGTTACGCTAAAACAATAAACGGTCGAAGGAGATTGGCAGGCGGAGGCAGCAGAAGCATCAACACGATTTCCAGATTACCATTGGCCGTAATCATATATTGATACAGTTTAGTATCGACCGTAATAGCATGATTGAGAATCGAATATAAAAGATGGCTGTAGATGGAGAAATACATTCGGCGAAACAAGAAAAAAAATGAATCTCATAATAACATTAGCAGGAGACAGAAAAAATCGCATTTTCACAGACAAAAGAGCAAAAGCTCCAAATAAATGGTGCTATTTACATTTTTCGCCCATAATGTTCAACAAGTGTGCGGTAGTTCGGCAGAGAGGAAATGATTGAGATGCACATTTTTCGTCGTTATAGAGTAATTGATTGGCAGCCAAATGATATATTCAATTATCTTCTTTAACAAAATCATACTCTTCATACAAGCGGAAAAAGTGCTCTCATTAAATGTAAAAACGCACACAGCAGCACAATAACAATAATAAAACAACAACATAACGGTCTGAAGTTCTCAAAGGATAATTGGAACGCAAATTGATGCAGCCGGTGTTGGCTGCAATATCACAAACGAGATGATGAAAATGAATCACCGCGATGCTGAATAAATATCTCGAAACTATTCAGCAGCTAATGAATCAATGCCAATCGAATGCTACATAGGGTGGAAGCATCAACAAAATTAAAATTGGCGTGCTGTTTAGTTCAGAAAAAAATTTACGAAATAACATTGATTTTCCTATTTGAATTGAGGGCGCTCGCGTCGCCACAGTTTTCATTCAAGTTGTTTTCGGTCTTAGCTTCCACCCGATGGAATGCTCTCGAACTGAAATGCATACGCGTTTTTGTGCCGGCGGCAACAGCTCACACACACAGTTTACACACGCATTTTTAAATCTGTGTGTATGTGTGTGTTTTTGAGTATGCATTGGGTTGAGAATCAAGCTGACTGCCTGACTCCACGCTATTTTTACAATGTTTCTCTCTCTCTCTCTCTCTCTTATCGCAAATGCTTTCAATTTAATTATAAATAATGCCAGTATAGCAATTTTTTGCCCATACTGTTTACTTTTACGCGAAGCAGATTTTTTGTTGTTTTCTGTCCGCTTTCTCTCGTACTGTTGTGATGAATTTTACACCGTAACACGTTGACGTGGGTAATTTAATGGCCCTAAAAATAATGTGGTGTACGCTTCAGACAGCCAATAATGATTTTCAACGTTTTTTTTTTTTTTTTGGCAGCATTGGCCACTCATATAGACCCTATCAATACTGTTTATTGATCAAACAGCGTAGATTGCGTTGTTTACCAAACAATAAAGTGGCTCACAAATGCCAGAGAGCCAATAAAAGTATCATCTCGAATTCTCAACGATGAAGATGCAAATACCAAACAGAAAACAGAAAAAAGTATCCCAACTGATGAACAAACCAACAAAAGAGACAGAGAGAAAGATAGAGATAAAGTGAATTAAAACAAAGATTTAAAGCGCATTCAATATTTTGTCGCATCGCGCAAACGATATGACCATTGTTCATCGACAATGTGAATGCGCCGGAACGCAATAGCAACGGAAAAAAAATAAGCTCATAAAACTGCCGAGCCCATTGAATAAACGGACAACGGCAACAACCGAAAAAAAAGAACAGGAAAAGCATAACGATCAACACCGCCAAAATGATGCATATACAATATGCATGCAGACGATGTTTACACTAAATGTACGCAAATCATAAATTACATATTATTGAATATTCGGATTCGGAGAGGGAGGAGGATGGGGGGAGCTTTGTCCTCTCCATTTCTCTTCATCTCATTTGTTTTATTATCTATTTTATGGTCAATATAATACTTACTCTCTGAATCGACGATTATCGATGACCAGGCCAATTGTGCTGTAGCTATTTGAATCGATGACAGCGTTAGGAAGAATATAAACAGCACCATCAACTGGAATTTTCCATACATTGCGAACATTTCGACACACGAACACAGCAGATGCACACACAATAATACACTGTAAGCACTGTTCAATTTATGTGTTGACTCTCTTTTCTCTATTCTTTATTATTTTTATTATCTTCTTCTTCTCTTCTTTATTTTTTCCTCTGCTGTCGAACAATTATTTGTCACTGATTTCTCTTATTCTTCTTCACTCTATATTTTCCGATTGATATTTACATCGAGAGCATCTTTTTATTCGTTTTTTTTTTTGTCTATTTGCTTTTTGTCTGCTGTTTCTGCCGAAAAAAAATATATATCAGTGTTTGTATTATTTTTTCATTTGATTTGCGATCGTTTGTTCACTTTATCGATTCATTTCGTGTTTTGTTGTTGCTATTGTTTTTTTGTTTGATTGTTCATGTGCGAATTTTGCATGCATTTTTTTCTGTTGCTGCTGTTGGTCATTCAATTTAGTTCTTCTTCATGCTATTGACGTGATATATCGTATGATTGTTTGTTCATTGGGATTCGCGATTAACAGACGTTTTCAGAAACGAAAGCAAAAGCAATTTTAACCCCCAATGAATTGCGCACACCCCCGCACTAACCAATCATCCTCCAAACTTCAAGCTTTGAGTTGATGTGTATATGTATTGATCTTTAGCATTCAACCAAACGCACATTGTCCATTTGACCGGCAGATATGTGCCCCTCTCACGCTTTTCTTCTTTTCGGCTGCCTTTTTTTAATCAAATGCGGAATACGCATTCATCACCATTTTTAATCTGGCCACTTTCATTTTTTGTTTGCTGCTACTGCTGCCACTGCCGTTTCTATTTTTTCTCCGATGCTATTGTTGACTTTCACCACAACTAGTTCGATATGCGTATGTGCGCGCGCGAATGGTTCCGTACTATTATTATGCACATAGATTGTGAGCAAAAACGGAACACAAAAAGCAGTGTGTGTGTGTGTGTGTGAGAGAGAGAAGAATGGTACAGCAAGATCAAAGCGCTCTCCAAAACGATAAGCAGCGGGAATAAACAGCGAATATAGAAATCGCGAGAGTTGTTATGTATTGAGTTGGAATGTTTGCTTAAAATTTATTTCTGGCTTTAGTCGGAAAATAGATTTTCATAAAACCGTTTTTGCTCGTCTGGTGCGAATAATGCGGTTGATGCTGATTTCGACACGAGATGAAATACGACAAAACATTCTATTTGTTTGCAGTTGAAATCAACGTACACTGCCTCCGCCATTCACAATGTTATATTCTTGAGGGCGCGAAAGAGCATCTTCATGTGTGTGTGTGTTTGTGTATGTATGTGTAGAAGGGGGAGATAGAGAGACACAGATCGAGAGAGAAAAAATTGCGCACCAATATAACTGCTAAATCCATTCAAAGCATAAATTCCATAAGATGAGCATCGCCGAAATGTTGACTATATAGTAGTTTTGCATCCATATGGTGATATTGCCAAAATCCCTGTAAGAAGAAAACAATACAAATTGATGGCACATTTTTCGGTAATGATGTTAAAGTTTATCCTTAAAAGCCTAAAAATTTGTTGTTCATTTTTCGCGTTCTCGGTTGTTGTGCCAGTCTTTTTTCTTTTCTCTCCTTTCGTTTCGTCACATTTCAAGTCGAAATGAGCACCAAGCTTGAATTTTGATAAATCCTGCAATTCGTTCGAACAACATAAAAGCGAACAAGCGAGTACGAGAGAGAAACAAAAAACAAGACACAAAACAACAACGCGAAAATCGAAAATAGTTGCTCGAAGCTGAAAAATGGTTTTCCATTGACTCAGCACAATTTCGCACTTAAGCATAAGTTCAATATCACAATTGAGGCTGTGAGAATGAAAATGGCAATACAGGAATAAACATTCTGAAGCGCATCAAGAAAAAAAAATTCGCAAAAATGAATCATGAGTTCTGAATACGCAAAAGTGAACCATGAACCTCCTATGCTGCCCATGTAAATTCATGTTTCACTTTTGCATATTCAGAACTCATGATTCATTTTTGCGATTTTTTTTTCTTGATGCGTTTCAGAATGTTTATTGCTGTATTGCCATTTTTATTCTCACAGCCTCAATTGTGACATGATGAAAATTCATTTTGCCGACCCACAACCATCCCATCCCTTGAACAACGCGATAGTGGTATATATTGATTTCACCGTAAGCAAAATGTTTCTTGCTACGCTTTTTTCACGCAGAATAATTGCTTTGTACGGTTTGCGGGTGCGTGCACAGAGAAAAATAAAATCATTTTTGCGTAGCAAATTCAATTGAGTGGCCGTTTGCACACGTTATCTAATTTGACAATTCCAAAACTGAGTGAAACTACTTGTCAAATTAGACAACGTATGCAAACGGTCACTCAATTGACAAATATTTTGCTACACGAAAATGATTTTATTTTTCTCTGTGTGTGATTCGGTGCACATCAAAAACCGTACGGTTTCAAAAACGAAAGCGAATTTACTTTTCTTGGTGCTTTTTCCCATCGCTTTGCGTTATCACATTGCCAAAGAAAGATTGTTGTTTGTCATTAGACCATTGAAAATTTTCAGATTCGCCGATAGTTGAATTTATGCAAAAGCAAAGCGACGACCACGATGACGATGACGAGAAAGCGATCGACTCAATAAAAGAAACTACGCTACATACGGATAGAATACGTTAAGTCAAAGTATTCTATACGTACACTTTGCATGCGGTTCATGCCAAAATTATGCCTTTAATATACCTTTGACTCTGTATTAAACTATGTATAAAATAAGCGTAAGCGTGAAAATGGTATAAAAGCAGCGTGCGTAGGGAATACACGCTGTATATTTGTAGCGTAGTTTTTTTCATTGAGAAAGACGGGATGAAAATGAATAGAAACAACAATGACGACGGCAAAAACTTGTTCCGCATAACTTTTAACACAACTACTAACTTTCTGGACAATTTCATAATGTGCTGAAATAACACAGCATCACTTGGACTAAAGTTTTGTTCACAAAGCTATAACATAGAGCAGCCGCAGCTAAAGAGAGAGAGAGAGAGAGAGAGAGAGAGAAAGAGAGAGAGAGAGAGGGGGAGAGAGGAAGTGAATGACACACAGAGGGGAAAAGTGTTAGGGACAAAATACAGGGAAACAGGAGATGGAAAACTTAGATAAATGACAGAGGTGGAGTTAAAAAGGGCGCTGATTTGTATCACATTCATTCAATCATCCGTTCGTTCATTCATTCATTTCATTCACGATAGAATTGTATAATTAACACTTGAAAATACGCTTCATGTTAGATCGTTAAATATGTATGTAAGTGAAAATGAATGCTCTCGACGTGCCGAAACGCTCTCTTACTACATTCGAAATGGGTTTCGGTCAATTCGCCGGAGATGGAGATGGATTGGGGAAGGGGGAGAAAGGTAGAGAATGACTGAGAAATGCAGGAGATCCACCATACGATTCGAGAGTTTAACGATTTGTTTATGCATATGGTAGGATATTATATAGTTTTTGGGGCAAGCTTCATGTCATTAGAGTACACACTAAGAGTACACAAAATATGCATTTACCAATGCTATTATCATCTGTTGGCTCTACCACTCCCTTCTGTCTAGCCAGGCCCGTACCGTGCTTTTTTGCCAGAAAATGGTGATTCTAGTTTACCAAGTGATAGCCCGCCATTTCGACAACACACTGCTCAATTGGACTGTGAATATAACGAGGCATCGAGCGTGTTTGTGCAGATTTTCGCATTTCGTCTCTTTTAATAAGATTAAAATTGGATACAGCAAAAACATACTTTTAGCCGACATATACACAGTCACAAAAATGTGAAGCCCGAACGAGAGACAGCCGACAATGAATGCTGATAATGCACTGCGAGAATACTGAAACAACGATGGAGATGTAGAGAGTGAGAGATGTGAAGAGACCAGCAACTACTGAAACAATACGAAAAGTCGTGGAATGCCGTAATTACTTAATCAAACATAAACAACACACAAAGTGTACATTAAATACAGCATTGTATAATAGAGAGTGAATATATTGTCGAACGTATACAGCTAAAACTACAGCACACAGACGCACATACATTTATTCATTTCACCCTTGTGAATGCTGTGACGCGTATAACTTTCAAAAAGAGTCACATCCAAAAAAAAAATTATAGATAGAGAGAGAGAGAGAGAGACGCTTATGAAATGCTCCCGACGTTTCCTCGTCATTTTAAAAGCTAGCAAATAAATTTTATGCTCCAAATCTGAATGGTTAAATAGGACTTTTGTGAATGCGTCTCTTTTTTGAGTATACGTGTGTTCGCGTGAGAGGGTGTCAGAAAATAAGTAAATTTTGGTAAGATGACTTCATTTTTTGTGGGCTGCTGCTGTTCATAGCACTTTGCTATGGCCATTGTGCGCTCGTAATTGGTGGCACTGTGTAACATTTGTTTGAAAACAAACCATTTTTCGTGTAGCATTTACCTATTACCCATTGATGGCTACATGTATTAAGGTGGTCTCTTTTATTTCCATTTTAATGCATAAAACGATAACTAGTACATATTGTTGATCATTGACCGAGAAAAAAAATGAGTTTTTCAGTTTTTTTGGACGAATGGAGCCACATTTTTGCATTCACTTACTCTCGATATTCGATTAATATATGATTTTGAGTGACTTTTGTCCTTTCGTCATGCATCCACTGAACTTTTAAGCGAGTACATAAAGCGAACGAAAAATCGACATCGAGAGATAAGGAAAAAGAGTATGTGAGAAAGGGTGTGTGTGTGAGAAAGAGAATACTGCTCGAAATCGTTTATATAGCCACCGAACAATGGGATCAAATGTATTGGTTGTTATGTACTTGTGTTACCGTTTGTGGCTGCGTGGAAATTCCTCCGGCTTATGTGGAAATGGCTTAACTAAATGAAACTTTTATAACATCTATTTTTGGAAAATAAATTAAGTTTATTCGGTATGGAATGAGGTTTGCTCGAGTCGCATTGTCGATCAGGATGCTGAATCGAACGAATGAGATGAGAGATTCTATTCATTTTCATGCGATTGCATTATTTCGATTCCAGTGTTATCATTCCGTTATTGCTCACTGATTGTTGGCAATTTACTCTGATTGCATAACGACAACGAACCAACGAATGAAGGAACGACCGAACGACAACAATGGCAGAAACTAAACCATAAATTTTACTCATTTTTTCGCCATGTTATCAAACAAAATGCTGTTTGTTGAAAGTATTTGCGGTGCGGTTGCGTTGACATGTTTATTTAAATGATGAAATAAAATTTTCGAATCATATACACCAACGCAAATACACCCACACACACACACACACACAAGCACATAGCAGCAATGAACGAGCGACAGACAAAATCCAATGATAAAATTTGCCTATGTTTTTATATGGAGCACATGTTTACGCTATATTTAAGCGACATCTAGACGCTCAACGCTGAACTATGAAACTTCTATATAAATATACTGCCAACTATCAATGACAGCAACAATAGAACGTATTTGTATTGCAAAATACTTCCACATTGCAGATGGCGCCAAACCAAACGTCATTCTAGTCATTTTTCACATTGGAAAATCCATTTGCGAATAAATACCAAAAATTCGCACACTCAAAATTAAATTATTAGCAAACTGTCATTGTAAGAGTTTATCTTTGCGCTAATTATACATTTTGTCGAGTAAAATTCCCTCGTTTAACTCGATGTGCAGTTGCAATATAATCTGAATACGCGACACCGAAACTGGGATCAATTTTGCAGTGAGCAAACCTCAGCTTATTAAAGCACTCAGCGCGGCGGTAAATATGGTTGTTGCTATTGCTGTTCGTTTTATATATTTTTATGGTGTGTGCATGTGCATGTCGCTCTGCCTCTCCTTTGCTAGCGCTTTATTAACAAACTATTGTGTAATTGCTGTCATATTACATGTAAAAGCGAACAATTTTACATGGTAAATACATGGTATAACATTGTAACATTCAGATGAGGTTGTGCAAAATGTGGCTCGAGCCGTGCATGATCGTGCACACAAACAAACAAAAAACTACTAATAATGATGAGCTCAAATTAAATGCAGGTTGTACAATCGGTTGGAAAACGCTGACCGAGAAATGAAAATAAAGCGAAATGGAAAAATAAACTACCATGATAACGATACCGCCTCCACTAGCAATTTTAACCGAGTCTTCTGCCATCCATAAAATGTTTCTGCTGCCGTTTCACATCACCGACTACGGCACATTTGATTTAAAATGTTCGACTCAACCGAAATAAATATTTTCATTAATTTTACGTTTACCAAGGGCAACCAAAGCAAATGCAATTTAGAGGAAAACGTCTCTGCCACACGCTTTGATTACTCCAAAATGATTCTGGGGGAGGAATGTTGGAAAAAATACAAATAGACAGACAGATAGAGAGAGAGAGAGAGAACAACCGA